TTCCCTCAGGCTTCACAGACTGTATGAAATATACATATATATGTGAATAGAGGATAGGCAGCAGGGAAAGCACTGAGGGAAACACCTCAAGTGCAGAAGAATTCTCTTCCACCTCATTTTCATAAAACTTTGTGAATATACATGCTATCCAACCTTAATAGTATGCAAGATTAGGATTAATGCGTCCTGAATCATAGTACGTGTGAAATAGTGGGCCTGTCTCAAAATGCACAGATGCCAGAATATTTGCAATGGATTTTCGAAGTATGCACACTTTTTTGGCTAATCTGTGTGTGCTTGGGTCTAGTATGACCTGTTTCACATCCATCCATCCAGGGGTGTAGCCATAATTTCAGAAGTGAGGGGGACATAAATGTTTTATATATATATATATATATATATATATAGTATAATATAATATAGTAATATACACAATATTCATTGAGTTGCAACTTACAAATATAAACATTATTGTGCCTTTTTAATCACATTTTGTGTAGAAATGTCTAAACTATTGCTAATCAAATTATTAGTCAAGAAGCAAATGATAAAAATCATGGATACAGTGGTAGGTCATCCAGGTTGGGTTTGAGTTCAATGAAATGCGAACACACTTGCCCGAAAAAGTGCAGGGGACGAATTTATGTGATATTAAAAGTGTGGGGGGACACGTCCCCCGCGTAATCTACGCCCCTGCATCCATCCATCCATCCATCTATCTATCTAACAACTGTACATCTGTATCCATTCATACATATTTACTCAACAGTGAGGAACATAATGGAGATATGCAAAATCTGTATTCACTTCTCTATTGCTTTTGTTCTCAATCGAGGAGCTAAAACTTGGTTTAGTGAAACCAGAGAGATACCACAAACCGTCTGCCTAATAGATCATTTTGACAGTTTAATTTTAATGCTTGATTATCATTCAGTCTTATAATTGTATTATCCAACCGTTCAATTAATTTGGTCTATATTTACACCGATGATTAGGATCAGAATCGAAATTGTAATTCGCTGGTTCTGCGTGTCGAAAGTAACCAGGCTATCTGTTGGAGTAGCTCTCCTGATATTCGTGCTCCTACAGGAATGGGATATCAGCTCCATCTGCTCCCAGCATCTTTCCATTAGAGTTCAGTTTAGTTTAGTTTACTACTTTATTAATCCCACAAGGGACAATTGCAGTAAGGCATGGGCAGCACATCACAGACTTCGCAAATGGACATAACAGCACATAACAAAAAATTGTTATGTGCTTATGTAAAAAAGAGAAACAAATACTCTTAGACGTGATTGAGTGCATGGACCCACTTTAAAAGACCGGACGTGACTGTGCTGTGTGTTATGAAATGAGCTTACACAGAATTAATATGAGTGGTTCTGCTAAAATCTGAAGAAAGCACCACCCAAAATGTTTCACTTAAACTGTATTAAATAAATAAATAAATAAATACATATTTTTGTGTTTAAATTTAAATTTTAAATCTTTATTTTGAATATGCAAAATATATTTATTATTCATCCATTTATTGTGTTTTATTCTACTTTCTAGCAATACAATTTGCTAGAAATTTTATTGTATATTCATATTCAGTCTGGAGTGCTTTTGCTTTATTAAACTTCTCACAAGACAACAGGCCATGTTTAAAATTCTATGTGCAAATACCAGCAGCTGGCTGAGGGCACGATAAAGCAAGTGTCTGTAAGCATTAGCTGGTCATGTTTACCTGCTGCAGGTCAAACAGTGTTTTCCCTCAGAAGCAATTCCCACTTTCTTACATTCTCTCTCTTTCTTTGCATCTTCCTGCAGATGACGTTCCTCCATACTTTAAAACAGAGCCTGTACCGAGTCAGTTGCACCTGGAGAGGAACCGGTTGGTTCTGACCTGTATGGCCGAGGGGAGCTGGCCTTTGGAGTTTAAATGGATCCACAACGACACAGAGATCACGCGGTTCTCGCTGGAGTACAGGTCAGTGTGTTTTCATGCATGCGTAAAACTGATTTACTAGCAGTCTAGCAGGGATTCTTTTTTGTGTAAATGTGTATCGTTTTCTAACATGCGATGCATCAGAACCAGATCACTTCCATTATAATCAGAACTGTCTACACTTGGAAACCCATGCACTTTACGTTGACAGAAACGTGGATTTGGTTTAGCCAGCCGGTTTTCGTTGCTTATACGTATGTATTAGTGCGTAACATTTACTTGTATAAAACGCACATTTTTTATGTTCGGATAGATGCTGAAACCTATAAACAATTGATAACAGCGTAGGCCTATACATAGAAAACACCTTTTGTGTACCAAAATAAATATTACATGATAAATGTTACTATGTTTTTATCATGTTTAAGGTTTTAAAGTGTAGTCTTGTTTAGCATTCTGTAATCTATTACAAAAAAAGTTGGCAGCAGAAGTCACACAGAACTGAACAAAATGTTAGAATTTAATTGTAAATGAATAAACTGCATTTAATAGATGTAACTGGTAACATAATATCATTAATGACAATTTAATACATTTGAATAAAAATATTTCAGTATTCATAAATAAGGATTCATATTTTATGTTTTAAAATAATAAAATATTATTTTATTTCTAAATATGCTATGTTACTTATATATTTGTTTGTTGTTGTTGTTGTTGTTGTTGTTTATTTACTTATTTTTTTATATTGATTTTATTCTTTTTTTTATTTTTACTAAAACTTCTGAGTTTAGCTTTTGATGTATTTTGGTCTCTTTCACACCTTCATATATGCAGTAGTAATACTAAGACAAATATAAATTATAAAATAACCCAGGCAAAGTCAAATCATACCAATTGATTCCTGTTGAGAATAAAGAAAATATTTAAAGAAAATAAGATTTTATTTTCAGTTTACTTAAATTGATAATTCACCCTCATGTCATTCCAGATATGTATGTCTATCTTTCTTCAACAGAACACAAAAGATGTTATTTAGAAAAATGTCTTTGTTTGTTTTGTCCATACAATGGAAGTCCAGTGTTGTTTTGGACCCCATTGACTTATATAGACAAAAACAGTGGTTTTATTAGGTTATAATTATTATAGTAGTACTTGTGATTAGAACAGCAGGAATGTGATGACACATAAATTGTTCCGTCTTTATTTTGTGAGGCAAAGATTCAAAGGAATAATTATTCGGTGTTGAAAAGCAGGAATTCACTTTTAAAGACGATTGTATCTGCCATCAGATGTGCTCAGGTCATCCAATTCAGACTTTTTTTAATTAACTATCCTCAGAATATAATGTAAACTCTGGAGCTGTGGTGAATGGAGTTTTAATTAAAAAGATAAAACTGGCTGATTAGAGCGAGGGACAGGACGGGGTACAGATGGTGTGCTGGTCACTGTGCTGTTCTGAGGCTTCCCATCTACTCCATCTCTTCTCATGTTTACCTTATTATTGCTAAAATCCAGTTACAGTTGATCTCTTTCTAATAATCACTATGCACATGCATATTCAGGTTAAAGGGATTCACTCAAAAATAAAATGACTTTCTTTTTCTTCTGTGGAACATAAAAGAAGGAATTTGTTTTTCTATCCATGAAAGTCAAAGGGATCCAATATTGTTTGGACCCCAGCACTCTTCAAAATATCTTCTTTCGTGTTCCACATAAGAAAGTCATACAGATTTGGAATGACATAAGAGTGAGTAAATCATGGCAGAATTTTCATTTTAGACAAATTATCCCTGTATGCAAACCGTAATCTAATTGTTGCCAAACAAATTAATTACAAGCGCTTTGAGACCGAGAGTTTTGACAAATTATTAACAAGTGCTTTGAGACACAGAAAGTTGTGAAAAATCAAACTATCAAAACGTATGAACATGAAAGGAAACGCAAATAAATCGATATCCAAATGAAAAATAAAAACCTCCTATAAAAATTTTCCATTTCATTTCACTCTGGAATGCTGTGAATTAATGATTTGACTAAATTACAGAACATAATTACTAAAAATGAATTCTAAATAATAAAAGAAAATAAACAAATAGCATGCAGCATATCCAGAATATAACAGCATTAAGTATTCAGAATGTGGACCTTAATTGCAAAATGATATGCATATAAACATGGTTCAATCTCAAAATATCTGTATATAATAATTGTACAACATTCTCTGACTTCTTACTGTGTATTTGTATGCATAAAGTGATACATGAACACAAAAAGTTATTTTTATTTTATTTATTTATTTTTATAGAATTTATTTATTAACTTATTTTATCATCTTATTTTTTTTATATTTTATTTATTTTTATAAAATGATTTATTATTTTATCATCTTATTTTATTTTATTTTTTTTATATTTTCTTTATTTAATTTTATTTGATGTTGTACACAAAATGTAGTGTCTCTTCTTCTTATGCTTGGTTTGGACACAATGTTATGCAATCAGACACATCTAGAGGTCAAAGAGATAATCAAAGGTCAGTATCGCTGATCAGGACTAAGACTTGCTACTATAATACATAAGAAACCCAACTGAAACCCAGTTTTCAGGTGTTTGTACAAACTTGTGTTTGTATGGGACGTCTCCAGTGTCATTGGCGTCCTCCCCTATGACATGTGAAGGCATGTGAAAGTGGCAAGGTCAGCAAAGCCGAATGGTAATTTGGCCATGGATGCTCTTCTATGCAAATAGAAAGAGTGATGAATCGTCATTTAAAAGCATCCCAGCTCTCACAATGACCTTTCCTTTCTCTCATACGCAAAGGAGACTTTCCCAAATGAGCTCAATCAATTGTTGTCTGGCAGTAGTGTTGTTCTCTAATGCCAGCTCAGCTGACTCTGCTACTGTGGCGCTAATGACATCAGCCTGCCTGGACTAAAAATTAATTTAAAATATATTAACATAGAAAACTATTACTATTTCATAATATTAGTATTTTTAAGTCAAGTCAAGTCAAGTCACCTTTATTTATATAGCGCTTTTAAACATTTTTACTGTCCTTTTTTTTTTTTTACCAAATAAATGCAACTTTGGTGAGCATTAGAATCTTCTTTAAAAAACAAAACAAAAATGTTGTGTAAATTCAGTTTAAATTCAGTTTAAATTCAAAAGTCAAGATCAAAATGTAAGATGTTATTGACTAATGGTTTTGCCTCTTCAATAATTTCCACCATTCAAATCATAATAAAAGGACAGTCATTTGGATGTGCACAGAAGAGTGCAACTAATGTTTTTAATTGTTCCGAAAGACAAAGCAGAAAAGAGCAACCTAGCATTTCAGATGAATGTCCTGCAGAAATGTTTTAAGGCCATCCTCACTATTTTTCATTCTTTTATCATTTGGTTCTTCTCTCCAGTTTGCACTCTCTGGTTTCTATTCCTTGTGCTGAAATCACAGTAAACAAGTTTCTCTCACGGCTGACTCTCAGACCATATTTTCACATTAACAGGGACAATTTCATGCCGGATCTGCACGAATTAACTAGAGTTCAGTGCAATAATTTGCCTTGTCTGGAGGATGGCAGCGACGAGTTCCCACTGAGCATTCTCACAGAAAGATCCTATAAAATACTGCTATGCCATACATGTTTTGGTTTTTCACTCCATTTACACTCTTATCTTCCTGTGGCGATACATGCCAACACAATATTTACACGCTTTAGAAGATATTTTGGGAAAATATTGTCTGCTGAGGAAAGAGATAAGCAAAAAAAAAATGAGGGGTGCAAAATTTTCTCACAGTTTGGTTTGTATCACAGTTCTGTAGTCACATGGAACATTGATTTTAGGAGTGCATGTTTTGGAAATTTGAAACTCATACAAATAAATATGAATTTAAGACTGTGAACAGCCAATGCCAATCTAATGATATTATTTATTATGAAATTTGCTGAAATTTCACTCACCCTCAGACTATCCAAGATACAGATAAGTTTGTTTCTTCTTCTAAGTTTGTTCATCGGAAAAGATTTAGAGAAATTTAGCATTACATCACTTGCTCACCAATGGATCCTCTGCAGTGAATGGGTGCCGTCAGAATGTTAGTCCAAACAGCTGACAAAACCATTTACAAACCACTTACAAACATGCAGCTTTTTTCTCTTTATGAGATGTTCATTGATGAACTGGAGTCTGTAGATTACTTGAGGATTGTTGATGTTTTTATCAGCTGTTTTAACTCTCATTCTGACGGCACCCCAGAATGACTCCATTCTGACTTGACTCCAGAGGATCAAATGAAGAGCAAGTGATGTAATGAAAATCCCCCAAACCTGTTCTGATGAAGAAACAAACTCATCTACACCTTCGATGGCCCGAGAATGAATACATTCCAGTTTTTATTTTTGGATGGACTGTTCATTTGTAGATATAGGTCACCCAAAACAAAAGTTCTTTCATCATTTACTCACCCTTGTTCCAGATCTGTTTGACTGAAAAATACCACAATGTTTTTTTATTTTGTTCATTCAATGAAACTCAACTGAAATAAACAGTGCTTCGCTAGTATGCCCATAAAAACTCTCTTTGCTTCTTATATAAGCAAACATCCTTTTCTTGTTTCAACATCCCTGCTATTAGTGTCACCATAACAGCAAGTACCGCTGTTGTTTGGTTACTGAAAGGCTTTGCCATTCATCAACTATATGCACTGATTATTCTATAGGCAGCAGATGTTATCAGTTCTTCCCGTAACTGCGCCTGCAGGCTGAGCCGATGTTGCGTTTCGCTCCCAGCAAATTGAATCACCTGCAGCATAGGCCTGTACAAAAAGACCTGCTTTCTTCCTTTCATTCTTCTTGCCTGAAACCACGTGATGTCAAAGACGGCACTGGAGCAGAAGAAGCGTTCTGTTGTTTTCTTTAATCATGTAAACATTAGCGTGGTCTGTTGTGACGCCTTCTGGATATCTGTGACCCAATACCAGCAATTATATTATATTATATTATATTATATTATATTATAAAGAGCACTCTCTATTCTAAT